GGCCGTCCGTCCTCCACAATAGGAGTGTTCATGGGATCACTAGGGCAGGTATTCTGTCTTTACATGACAGTATCTTGAAATTGTATTGAAAACTATCACTCTCCTCCACAAAGTCACACCACTGTCACTCAACCGCTCCATGTTGGACTGTATTTGTTATTTGGATCCACTGCAGAAAGTTCTTTGTTGCAAAATAAGACAAGTGATGAATTACGTTGATCCCCAGCAACAACAGCTTGTTTAGAACAGCAAATAGTAAAATAAGATTTCACAAATTGAGCATTGATTACGTCTTGATTCACTGTTACGCATTATGATGAAACCTGAATCGAACAAATATCGATTATAATATGATAATTATAATATATGAAAATGTAACCCTCTCTTGTCTATTACATGGAGTCTCGAATTGCTGTTAACATTTCCTCCTCTGTCTGTTATCAATTCTCCAGCCTGAGTTAAGCTTTCATTTTTAGATCACAGCTGAATAATGTATTTTCTACCAGTTTGCTTTTTAGGGGTTATGTTTTACATCATTATTTATGATTACTCAGTAGGACATGGATGATTTTCCACATGTGCCTGACATAACGTGTGTAAATGCTGTTTGTGATGTAAAGTGATTGTAAATGGAATGAAAAAAAAATATTGTTCAGTAGTTCTCCTGTTCATTGTATATTTGTCACTTAATGTTGTAATATTTTGTGCGAATTGATGTACACTGTATGAACCCTCAATATAGAATATAGCAGTATAAATATTGTGAATATGTTTGTTTAGTTCCTGTTCATTTTATAAATTGTGTTTGAGTGCAGTAAAAAATCGTTATTTTCGATTAAATCAGGTAGGCCAACAGGCCTGACTGTGTGAAATAGTGCATCTGTCTGTGTAACATTGTGAAACCCAGTCAATCAAAATTGGATTGTTTTCCATAAATTTAAGCGAATGAAATGAAGTTAATGCACGTTTCCTCTTAGTCTCTGGGCCTCGTGTCCCAGGCACAGTAATTTCACAAGAGGATTCAATTAGTAAAGATCTAAAGACTATTAACTTTAATGTACAGATTTATACTGGAACTTAGTGTTCTGGTTTCATGTATTTTGATACAAACTATTGTACCGTCCATAAAACTATATGGACCGCTAAGGCCCACCAGTGACAAAATTGGGTTCACTTTAGTACTTATTAACAGTTTAGAAATTGACTTAACTGATAAAGACCCACCCCTAACTTTTCTTTTCCTCTGTCTTTCTTCTTTTCTTTCCTCACTTGTCTTCCTAGTATTCCTCATTTCTCTCTTACATTTCCACTTAATTTTCTCACTCCCCTCGATTCAGTTTTTACCTCCCTGATCCTTTCTTTCCCACTTGCTATCTCTTCCTGTCCAGTCTTTAAATAATATAAAGTACAGCCATTAAATATAAATAATTTTGCTCACAAATTTCCATTCCCGTCTCATTCCATATTTAATTGTTTAGAATAATAAATGGGCAGCCCACATTGGGGCTTGCCTACAGTGACCCCACACACAATGCCAGAAATAAGGGTACAGTAGGAGTTCATTTCTGTCCATCAAGGTACAATCAACACCAATGTTTCCCCCGAGGGCCAATCATTGAACCTTAAGGTAACTGTGTACTTTTTTGAGGGCTAAAAAAGGTACAGGTGTTCCTAAGAAATACAAAAGCACAGATAGGTTCATCAGGAGACAGTCAGATAGACAGTTTGGTCAAACTGGTTGAGCTTGTGACCAGCTCGAGCTGGATTTTCCTATGTATAAATAAACTCTCATTGACAATGGGCCCGTCTGAGATCTAAGATAGGATTACCTGCTGTGATGCTGGTACATGTAAATAAAGGAAATTCTAATTTTCCTGCCTGAAGTGTGTCCTGGATTCACTCATAAGGTGACACTGGAAAAAGTTAAAAAAAAAATCTGTATAATGGGGTCCATGTGGTAAAGGCGGAGTCAGTATGACTTAGTTATACAGGTGCTGAGAAGAGCCCTTTCTGTGCCTATTAGCTGCACATAATGACAGTGTTGCCATCTTGCCCCATATTTTATAAGTGCAGATCCTTAAATTCTCAGCCTGCACAGTAACAGTATCTGACAAATAAGTGCAGTGGAGTTTAAAGTATATTTAAGTATATTTCCCTCAGTATTAGGCAGTGCAGCACTTAGTAAATGTTACAGTCCACAATAGTTTTTAGGCCACAAGTTGAACTTGTCCAGTTCTGAAAAAGACAGAACCCCAGCTGATCACTGCTATGCCTCACCTGACTATGCGGCCTGTGTTTTATGCTCTGGGAGTCTGCAGTGTCTTACTTAGTTACCACTCACTGTGAATAGCTCTAGCCTCACTAAGAAGTGCTTCCTTTAAAGAAACGTGTCTATTAACTACCAGTTTCACTGATGTATGGCAGGTGATGAGTGAAGATCAGATCCCAACAGAAAACTGAAGTGAGTCAAGTCAAAAAGCTTCAGAGGAGGCTGGAGCAGTAAACCACATTGCGGAGGCTGAATAATGATAACTAATAGAAGTCAAAGGTCTTCAAACAACAAACAGACAATAGTTTAAAATGAATTAAAACGACTCCACAGAAACACTGCAGGTCAACAACAAGACACAAAATTGAAAAAACAGAGGTGAAAAAATGATAGAACTGAGAAATAGGTCTAAACACATGTGAGAACACCAATCAACACAGATGAAGACGATACCTGACACCAAGGGGAAAACCAAGCCAAGGGGGACACCTGGTGGTAAAACTCAGACATGACTAAGAAGTCCAAACAAATAAACAGTGAAGGAGCCAGAACAAAATAATGCACTGAACTGCAGCACGGAGAATTTTGGAGGGCACTATATCATGGACACAAATGTAGTGCACTGTAAAGTAAATGGAGTGATTTCAGACACCAAGCATGAAATGGATGCTGGGTCTCAGGAGCTGAACTGGAGAAACAAATATTCTTCATCCATCAAGAGCAGTCAGCTGTGTGAACAGATAGAAACTGTAGCATCACAAGCTTCAGAGGCACAGATTTATTTGACTTTGTTTTATTTCTGTCTGCATACATGGAGAAATGTGTGTCTCAGAGTAAATCAAAGTCATACAGTGGGAAATGTCTGACTCTTGTAACCTAACTGACGTTATTGACTTGTTAAGTCAAATGTTATTGGCATGGCCTTTTGTAATATGAGGTATGTTGTGTTTTTTTTGTCCCAAGTGTAAGTCAAGTTTCAGGTCAGATTATGTCAGCAAGTTAACTTTAGTAGGAGCTACTATAATAATCAACACCTGACAGCCACAAAGACTAGTTTGTGAGGTGCAGCCTGTACTGATTAAGCCGTGTGTTAGACTCCGCCTTAGTTATAGCGTTAACGAGGCCTCAGTTTGAACCTACTCACAGCTGGTGCTACTGGAAACCACATACACACGTACAGCGTACATATCAGCACTGTTCAAAAAGCTGTCCTCTGCAAATATTCATCAGTTCTGCTTTACTTTCAACACCTGAAACGGTTACCTAATATTTGAAAGTGAAGAGTAAGTTTTATTACCTCATTGTTTCAGAACTAAAGTGCAGTGACAGTGAAGTCTGTGTATCTTTGGGTCCCAGTGTAGTAACAAAATATGTTTTATTTTACAGATGCTCACATTCAGTGAAGAACACACATCAGGTTTTAAATCTGTGCTGAGACAAGACAGAGCAAAAAAAAGGCAAAGCATATAAACAGTGAACGGGTGAACAAAAGTCAAATGGCATTGATGGTATGCAACCACCCACACATACTTTACATCTCATGACCTTCATATACATTTTACAGTATCTACAATAATCACTTTCATTAGTCTAAAGGCACATTGTCTTTGTCACTCGCCCATCAGCAGGCTGGGTCAGCTCTGACTGAGAGCGATAACTCTAGTTTTGAGTGTTTTTACCCATTTACCATAAATTGCTTAATGTTTTCCACCATCATTTCCTTCTAATTTACCATTTGTTTCTATGGTTAACATTTTCCATCCAGTTACAACCAGGTAAGAACATTTTATTTTTGTGGATGCATGTGGGTACCTAAAGATTACAGCCATACGTGACAGTTAAACATGTCATCCTAAACCCATGACCATTCATCTGCTGCTATAACGGCCACTCCTCTGGTTCCAGGCTTTCAGAGGAGCATTAGTGAGGTCGTACACTGAAGCTGGCTGATAAAGTCTAGCTCTTAAATCTCATGTTCCAGTTCATCCCAAAGCTACTGGATAGGGTTGAGGTCAGGAGTTCTTTTACAGCAAACAGGGAAACTATTTCTTTATGAACCAGGCTTTGTGCACAAGGCCACCTGCCATGGTGAAACAGGAAAGGATCACAACACAAACTGCTGTGTTTGTCGGGAGCACAGTATTGTCTAATATATAACTGCACTATGTGGCATTACACTTTCACTTTGTAGAAACTAACAGGTCGAGGTCAAAGCACACTAACAAATGTGGACTGTGGTGACCATTTACTTTTGGCCAGGTAGTGTATTTGATCAGATAAATTCTATAAATCCAATATTACCTGATCATTTGCAGCGCTGTCCCCCTAAGCACAGACACAGTATTAAAAGAGTAAGTGACACAGTCTGAAACTTCTGCTTTAAATCTTTACTCTGCTGAAATCAATGGAAACCAGCAGCAGCTTGGAAGAAGCGCTGGATATGATGTGAAACTGTTCAATACTGTGTGCACAAGTTATGAGAGGATGAATTTATTTCTAAAGCAATAAGGTCAAACATCATCATCATCATAGTTTTTAGCTTCCAGTTGTGGTGACTTGCTGCTGTTCTTCATCTCATGTGACAGAACATTAAATATCAGAAGGTCTTTGGGTTTTGGATTGTTTGTCAGACAGAACCAGCGGAGGTCACACTGGGCTTTAGGATATTGTGAAGAGCATTTTTTAAAAAAAATATTTTACAGACCAAGCAATAATCAGATAATTGAGAAAATAAATTGGCAGATTTAATCTATAATTAAATGCCAATACCTTTTGATACCTCAGTTAGACAAATCTTTTTCTTTTAACAAAAACTCTTTGTCTCATCTCAAAAAGAGCTTTACAAGAACTTTACCACAGTAAGATACAAACAGGTTTTCAAAGTAATTATTTAAATCAGGAACTATCTGATCAAAAAATAATACTAAGCCAACTACAGCAAGGACACATCTGACCCGACATTAGTTACCAGCTGTAAGGATAACAAAATTGTAACAATGAATCGTCAATTAAAAAAGTAATCTGCAACAATTTTGATAATGGATTAATAAGAGAAAAATATTTTCCAAACTGCCAATAGTGTTCTGGTTGCAGCCTCTCAGGTGTGAGGATCTAAAGCTGTTTGAGAGCATTTGTACACTGAACATCTTTGAGTTCTGGACTCATCACCACACAAAACAAGACATGTTCTGGGCTCCGGGAGTTTCTGATGGAAAATTTTAACTATGATCTGGCATTTCATAGACTGTAATGTCAAGACTTCTTGTAAGGTACCAAAAAAGAATCGATGTTCATTAAGGTGAGAAAGTAGTAACGAAGGTAAAACAAGTAAACAAGTGGGTCATTTCCCTCTCTCGAACAACAGACAAAGAACTGATAGCGGTCTCTGGACTGTCCTCCTCCACCCTCCGTGTCCTGCCGGCTCACAGAGCAGCCAGCTCCTGCAGCAGCCTCTCCTTCTCCTGCTGCAGCTCCACGATGCTCTGCTTGTTCTGCTCCAGCCGGTCCTCCAGCCACTGCAGCAGCGGCCCGCTCACCGCAGACATCTGGCTGCACAGGTTCTTGGTGAACACAGAGCCGTTGTGGATCTTGGTGACCGGGTCCAGGTGCGCCAGGCTGTGGATCTTGCGGTACGTGTCCTGCTCTTCCTGGCACAGGATCCGCGGCAGCTCTACGGCCGACTCCAGGCACACCTTGCCGATGGCTTCGCGGGGCACGACGTGGATCGGGATCTCCACCCGCTCGTACTCGGAGCCCTTCTGCGCCTGCACGGACTGGAAGCAGGTGTACAGCACCCGGCCCGTCTTGGTGTTCTTATCCTCGATGAAGCAGGAGAAGATGAGGCCCACGAAGCACTGATCCAGCATCTGGTACATGGCCTGGGTCCGCACGTCGACGTGGGAGGGCCACACGGTGATGTGCGGGTGGGAGTGGTACCAGCCGACCACCCGCATAGGCCTGCCCGTCATGTCGGCCAGCCTCTCCGCCTCCGTGGAGGCCGCTGACAGCTGCTCCGGGGAGATCTCCACCCGGTCCTTCCTCTTGTCCGAGCGGCGGAGGATGATGACGGAGTGGATGTGGACGATTCGGCTGATTTCCACCTCTCCGATGCACAAACCCATCACCTCTTCTTTCTCTGTGCTCAGCGCGTGATTCATGCACACGAGGAAGGCGTCTGACTCCAGGTGGACGGCGCTCACGGCCATGGTTTTAGTCAGATTGTATTGACGATCCGGGCGAGGGCGAAAACATAAACACAAACAGGCGCAGCGCTTCACTTCCGTGTTCTCAAGTGCTACACCAAAACATTCCGATCTGCTACATCAACAAAGGTTCCACTTACCTTTTGAACGTCGTTATTTTTGTAAAAACCAAATGAGCACGTCAAACTTTCTGTGTTACCATGTTATGTACATTTCATCACATTTATCATGAGACCATCTTGATAACATAGGTTATTTGTCATATATGATAAATAAATAAATAAATACATAAATCAGTAAAAAAAAATTATACTATAATAAAAGGGCAATACGTTCAAAAGGCAAATTGTACTTAAATATCAAAAGTTAATTTTAATATTGTATTAATTACAACTACTGTTGGGTATTAAACAATGCATTACACTGCTTTTTTATGCAGAATCTTAAGCTGTCAGATAAATGTTTCTAAAAGCATGTTTGTTTTTTTGAATAAAATGAAAGTAACCAAATAATGTACAAGTTCATCAAAACTGTACAACAAACCGTAAACTCACAATTTTAAGGCAGCTGTTTGCTTTAAGTTGTCTGTGTTCTGTATGAAGTGCAATCCAGAGTGAACATCATGATCAAGAGGCCAAACTGTCAATATTAAGTTTATTTATTAATTGTGATAACTGTACACAATCCAATCAGATTTATATTTAAAAAATCACATTAAATCTTACTTTAATCCACAATGAAAGTGCAAATGTTCATTTGATCTGTGCAATAATTGCACTATGGCTTTGCTATGCTGAAAGTGCCCTTCAAGTTCCAAGTTTATACCTGAAACCAATACTTTGTAGTAGGAAAGAGTTTATTAGTGTGACAGAAGCAACTCTGAACATTCATCAATCCAGTATAAGTTTTTTTTTTTAACGATTATTAAAAAAAAATTCATAATATTCTTTCCAGAGAAAGAGGAACAGCTGCAGTATCCAAACAATGCAAAACCTCCCTGAAGTACTTCATGAGCCAAAACCACAGTAATGTCTGCTGACAGATGCATTTGCATGGCTTTATGTTTAGGTAATAGTTATGCAGTTGTGGCTCATATTTCCTGAATTTAATGATAAATGACATAAATCAAAGTAAAAGAAAAAGCAATAACTGTAATTAAATCAAATCAACAATTAGTGAATCATGAAGCAAGTTGAATCTCTGACCTACGCCCCTCACTGCCTTTAAACTTCTGTCTACTCAAACTTGCAGAGCTCAGCAGCAGATCCATCCCCATTGAAACCAAAAACGCCAAGTCCCTGATGGAGAGGCTGAGTGAATGTGGTCTGGACTCTGTGGAGGAGAGTCATGGTTTCAGAGACGCTGTAGAAGGACAGAACACCTGCTCTGTGATCCAGGTACACTCCTACTCTGGAGGACTGAGGGCCTGAGATAAAAGTAATAATACTGTTATGTCTGAATTCATAGCTGTTGTTGAAGCACTCTAAAGCCCACGACTTATCATCATTTCCAAATCCACTTTCATATCCTGTTCTGCTGATGTCCTTGTATGTGACTGCTACTGAAACTTCGTATCTGCTTCTCTCCACCTCCCAGTAATGACGTCCACTCAGGCTCTCTCTGCTCAGGACCTGAAACATGTCAGTGAATCTGTCTTGGTGACAAGAATACATCTGTTTGTCACTCATCACTGTTGCTTTTCTGTTCCCCTCAGATAATAGCAGCCGTGTATTTGCCGTGTTTGGATCCAGTGTGATTTGTTGTGAATATCTTAAGAATTCAGCTCTGGCCTTGGGCTCTGCTGGCGGCAGTAAAACATCCACTTCAGTCTCTGTCAGTGAGATCTTGGTCCATACATCACTAAGAATGTCCTGTAGTTTATCTTTGACCTCTGACACAGCTGCCATCACATCCTCAAAGTATCGCAGAGGACAGATATTGATGCTGGCTGCATTTGTAGATTTACTGAGACATGACAATGAGGGGTAATTATGTAGAAACTGAATGTGGTCCTCTGTGTGTAAGAGCCGCTCCAGCTCAGTGTCTCTCCTCTTCAGCTCAACAAGCTCCTTCTGCAGCTTCTCCTGAAGCTCTTTGGCCCGACTGACTTCTGTTTTCTGCCGGGATCTGATCTGCTGCTTCACATCAGAACTTCTATTCTTCAGAAGACGGACCAGCTGAGTGAAGATCTTCTCTGTGTTCTTCACAGCTTTATCAGCAGAGCGATTGGTAGCCTCCACCTCCTGCTGAAGCACCTTCACATCTTTCTCCCTGTCCTGGATTCTCTGCTGGATCTTCTGTCGGCTCGTTACAAGCTCCCCCTGCCTCTCACACCGCTCTGCTGAGGCCAAGACTGTGTTGTGGTCTTTATGTTCATCCATGGAGCAGAGATAACAGATACACTGCTGATCAGAGCGGCAGAAAATCTTCATCGCTATACCATGACGAGTACAGATGTTCTCCTGGAGCTTCTTGGAGGGGTTGACCAGCTTGTGTTTTTCAAAGGCAGGAGATTCATAGTGAGGCTGGAGGTGCTGCTCACAGTAAGACACCAGACACTGCAGACAGGACCTGAGAGCTTTCAGTTTTCTCCCAGTGCAGAAATCACAGGCCACATCTTCAGGTCCGGCATAGCAGTGATCAGCTGGAGCAGCTTGGAGTCCAGTCTTCTTCAGTTCCTCCACTAAATCTGCTAACATGGTGTTTTTCACCAGGACAGGTCTCGGTCTGAAGGTCTGTCTGCACTGAGGACAGCTGTGGATTTCTTTCTGATCCTCTTCGTCCCAGTGGCTGTTAATACAGTTCTTGCAGTAGTTGTGTCCACAGGGAATAGTCACTGGATCCTTCAGTAGATCCAAACAGATCGAACAGCAAAGTTTTTTCCGATCCATCAGGTTTTGTTGCTGCGCCATTTCAACTCAGAGAAGACAGTGGATGTAAAATAGTTTCACTTTCACATACAAGATAAGAAATGTGAACTGATCCAAACTGTAGCTTGGTTCCCTTTCTTCATGTTCATTTGCTGATCTGCAGTGAATGGGGCTTCCCTTTACATCATGTTGATTACACCCATCTGTACACGGACAGATCTGCGAAAGAGGCGGGAAGCAGGAAACATCTGGACTGAATGGGACTGTCTGTTTTTTGGAAAGCAGGAAGATGTGGGAGGAGCTATCATGTTCTGATCCATTCCAGGAAGAGGAGTGACTTCAGAGAGGCACCATGTGTTTACAGCTCCTGTTTACATCATGAAGAGTGTGAGGCATAAAACCGGAAAAGTTCAACATAACAACACCCATCCCTTACAGTACACAGCTAAAAGTTATGTGACGGATATATTGAGCCAGTCCTCTCAGTTTTTACAAGTTTTGTCTGTTTGGAGCAGCTGTGACTCAGTTCAAATTCCCCATGACTGTGTCCTCAGGCAGAACCTTGTCACATCAGCCTATAGTGGAGACAATGATCATATTCTAAATAATCACAATATTATGAAATGTGTTCTACACACTTCATTTATATTTTATGAATAATGAACAGTGTCTTTATATTCTCATATAGAAAAAAAAGGTTTTGTAATAGATTCTTTGAGAGTACTTGTATGACAGATATGGTATATAAAACTGATATTATACTTTATTTAAATCTATAGCAGGATATAAAATAACTCACTTTTAGACTTCTTGTCCATTATAATGTTTGTTGATTTTGCTTTGGGGACTGATTTACTCATTAGAGTGGAAAGGTCCTTTACTTTGGTTCTTTTGTTTGTTTCATGATCTTCCTTGCAGCCTGTAAACCAAAGAGCAAATGTAAGAGCTTTCAACTGTTCCACTCCTCCTCAGTTTGGTTTGGCTTCCTTGTCATATCTGTATTTCACCACCACATGTCCCCCTTGGCATATTTTTCATTTAGTGGCCATTATAGTCCTCACATGTTTAATTTCTTCAGTTTGTTTAGTTCATTGGTTTGTCAGCTCTGTTTCTGCTTTTGTTAAATCTCCTGATGTTAACTTTTTTGTTTTGCTGATTTATCACTTTACCTGGACAAAAGATAAGCTAACAGGATACAGAGATATTGAAACCTCAAAGCTAAGCTATTGGCTTTCCAACATTAGCTAACGGCTAGACAGATAAAGCTAACATTAGCTCTAGTGTTAGCTTTCAGCTAACATTAAAGCAGCCCTGAGCTACTGAGGAGCATAAAGCTAACATTAGCAAGGCTAAGCAACTGGGGAGCCAATATCAGCGGGACCAACAGGACTATGGTTACCACCAAGCTCATCATAGTAAATTCAGTATCTAAAATGATCTTGTTAACTTTGAAAAATGGAGCATAAAGTCATCTATGCTGACCACATTAATCTTGGTGCCTTCCTTAAAGATCATGTAATGTGGATTTAGGTAGGATGGAATGGGATGTAAAAGAGTTTGGAAGGGTGCTCTGAAATTTCCCGCCTTACTTTACCACCTTTTTTGTTGAAGAATATAGTGACTGGACACTATTCTGGAAACTGTTCCACTATTCCACACTATTCCAAGATGATTATCCTCATTACTAACCTAAATTTGTTTTTTAAATAATGTTACCTATTAATATTGACTGATTAATGAGTTAGATTTTCTAGCTGTTTTTTTTTTTATCTAGTTATACTTTATTTTATTTGCATTGCACAACCAGTAATGGTGGCTTTGCTGCTATTTGGCACTTGACATTTTTGTAGTTCTTTTTACCAATTGCAACATGTTGTTACTAACAGAAGGTCTACATATCTCTTATGTATAATCACAACTAGCAGGTTAACGTAAATGTTTTTTAGCCGTGCTGGCAGCGTGACTCTACAGGCCACAGCAAAGCCAGTCAGTAAGTAACTTTGGTCCAGACTTGAATATGTCAAGAACTTGGAAGGGTTGCCCACTAACTTTTGTATAGATACTCATTGTCTCCAGACGGTGAGTCCTACTGACTTTTCCCTTGTGCCACCATATAGGTTCACATTTCGGGTTCTGACTGAAATGTCCCCACAACTGGTGAATGGATTAAAATGTGGCTCAGATGTTCATGTTCATGTTCAGGGTCAGTTCAAGCAAGTCTTAAGGATATTGATAGATACAATACAAAAAGTGAGTTTTTGCAGGTAGATGTGAGAGATGAAGGAATATGTTGCAAGTTCAAAGCTGGGTGTTACATTCATTTACATTACGTTTGTGACAGAAGTTCTAACCTCATCGTTTACAAAATGATGGATTAGAAGGTGTGATGTTGCTCTACTTCTCTGAACTCTTGTCATCTACATTTACAGTTTACCAGTTCTTCTTTTGTTCGGTACCTTCTTTGATTCTGATTTAAAATGAGGCTCTGATGCCACAGTCTCTACATTTCCTGACTAATTAGACCAGAGAAACATGACATGTTGAATCCACTCTCATGTCTCTATGGCAACAGGTTGTGGTGGTAAAACTTTCATCCTGAATCCAGCTTGACATCTTCATGAGCACGCACACACACGCGCACACACACACGCGCGAGCACACACACACACACACACACACACACACACACACACACACACACACACACACACACACACTCGCACTCACACATAAATACAGCACAGACCCGCAGATACACTATGTCACTATCACTATATGCTTGCAACAAAGATGTGTGTATGCGTGTTCAAGAGTTGATAGAGCATTTGCTTTCCCATCAAACATGTTTGCAGAGGCGTGTGGTATCCATGACAACTAAGACGCAGCCAATGAGATTTGATTGAAAGATTAACTGGTGCCCAGTAAGTAGGTATGGTTTAAAATTAAAAGTATTAGCCAGTTGTGAAAAGAAACTGTTCATTAGACAGTAGCCTACTCTAGATTCTAGGCTGGTGTTATTTTACATTTCTTCTTAAGAGAAAAAAAACAATGCTTTAGTTTTTCTACCCTGTGTGTGAATCTCAGCACAAAGCACATTTATTCCAACTGAAGACAAAAATCTTTAAAAAAATGTGTCACAAATATACAGATATAATGGCTCAGTTATTTCCTGAAACAGCTGGCCACTGTAGTTTTTCTCAAATCTTACACAATGAGGAGGAAATAATGCATTTGTTTTCAGCAGTGGATTAATACATATTTGGTGCTCTAGCGATTATTTACAGCAGCAGGAGAGTGTATGTGGGATTTAGTCAAAATAAACCACAGTGTGTGTTCATGGTAATGAAGGAACATGTCGCTCAGTGCGACAGTGTGGCTCACTGGTGTGCTTTTAATAGTTTTTGGACAACGATGGAGCTCCAGGACCCAGAGGAATAAGACATATCAGGCTTTGGATACACGTACAATGCCTGTTTGAAGAATCAGTTCATTGATGGTTTTGGGGTTTGTTGACATTAAGAAAAATATAATATCACCACATGCTTTTATTTCCATTCAAGTTACTTTGCTAAATTGCATAAATGTCAAATTTCATATATGCTAAGCTGAGGGAGCCCATATGCAAATGTAATATATATGTAGCACATATATTGAATTTCCATATATGAAATATGTAAAGTAGAAACATGTTAAAATTATTGACCCTATGAGAAATTGGAATAATTCCATATGTTGACGTAGGCCTATATATCTAGATCATACAAATATGTATGTTTATACATGTATGCTTATATTGTAGACATACTGTATGTTAGATAAATATAAAGCCATCCCAAAGCCTTCCAATATCTATTGATATTATATACAGTGGGTTCCAAAAGTCTGAGACCACTTTCCCAGAATGGGAAGAAATGAATGAGGAAAACATATATAAGCATATAGAATTTCATATGTATGTTGTTTTAATAAAATAAATATATATGTTGAATATATATTTACTTTGATATATTGTAAACATATATGCTCACAACATCTTATACCATGTACCATGATTCATAATATAGATGTTTTAATATATGTACATATACAAATTTTTCTATAGGTTTTCTTGTATATGTTAGAAACTTATATCTCCATATATCCAGAGGATGTATATACAGTATGTGATAATGATATATTCCCTTATAAGCATAATTCATAGAAACATCACTCTTGATATAGAGACCTATCATATCACATGTCAGACATGTCATATATTACATTTCTGTATGGGAGTCATATACTTCAAAATATATGACTCACATGGCTCACATTTTCATTAATATTGGGCAAACAGCGATCATGTTTTTATATGTGTTGTGAGTTTTTGTGTTTTTGTTTTTCCTGAAACGTTATGGCACTCATTTCCGAAGCAGGAAATCAATTGCCAAAAGCGAAGGCAGGTAAATGCAACCCAAGGACTGAGCAGGTGTGTGGAAGTATACAATCATAATCATAATGATGGTAATATTGAGGGATCATAGACTCAAGACACGCCTGGTTTGTTCATTAGTGTGCGTTACAAAAAACATCCAGTCAAAACAGTTCCAAGGTTGATTCCTATTACAGTATTTGCTAATTTCAAGCTGTAACAGGAAATCAAGCTGTTCCCTAGCAACCTATATCCAGTGAAGGCGTCTTTGGAGATTTATCTTTGGATCATGTTGCACAATTTTGATTTTTTTTCATTAATATGTTTTGTTATTATTACTTTGTTTCCATGTGAACCTGCTAAATCTCTTTCACAGCCGAGTTTCATTTGAACCTCAGTTTGGTGGACATTTTTGTATTTCATAACAATATGAAAACATATTTAATGATATTCTCATAGTGCATACTGGATCCATACATCACACATCAGTAAATCTGAGCATCTATTCACATTTCCTTTTACTGTTAATAATCCAGTGCTTTGAGTTGAAAGAAAATGTAATGTCTATTTTATAATAAGATGATTAGATGTTCTGTAAAGAAAATAACAGCTACTGTGTGATTAACTCACAGCTGCACAGTTTCATTGTGGAGCTTTTAAAAGACCATCCTTCATCTGTTGCAGCTATTTTTCTTTCTTTTCTTTTCTTTTCTTTTCTTTTCTTTTCCTTTCTTTTCTCTTCAATTTCATCATGTAAAATAATTGTTTCCACCTGTTGAACATTTAGGCCAAAGTGAATGAGCAAGAAAAATGCAGGCGTTAGGACCCAGTGGGTTCAAATCTTTCCAGGTTAGATAAATGTGTAGCCGCTACACACCATACGACGCTACCTTCAAATGCTGTGAGAATTATCAGGTTTACATTTTCGATTGTGTCTAATTTTGGTTAATAATTTAATCTAAATTAAAACTTTCCATATGTCTAAATTATATGTTGTTGAATTTAGGGTTTAAGGTTTATTTATTATATGTACTGTATGTATATGTATGGGCCTATGTGTATTTATTTTTGTTGTAGGCTTAGCCATATGGACCAGAATGCTGTTCTCAACTAATAAACAACAACAAACAACAACAAAGTTGTTCTTGTTTTAGTGGCATGAGAAAAAACATATTTGACCTTGAATTTACTTTCAGTCCAGCAAGGGAGAATCAGATCGACATTCTGAGAAATAGTCTTATTCGCATTCTTGTGAAGAAATAATTTTTTTTTTGTGCAAAAATAAAAAATAAAACTACTTCTTTAATATACGGAAGCGTAATGCATTCACTCAAAAGAAAATAATCCTATTTTTCTGAATTAACGGGATAATTCTAGATTTAATGTTTATTAAAAATAAATAAATAAAATAATAATAATAATAAAAATAATAACAATAAATAAATAAAACAAAATAAAATAAATCTCTGAGAAGCTTTTTTAAAAGAAAAAAAATCCTGTTTTTTGGAATCAACGAGATCTATTTATTATCCCGTTAATTCAGAGAAACAGAGCTGATTTTTTTCCCTTGTGAACGCATTACCGCTTCCGTAATAGCACTGAATCATCAGAAGTGCTTCTTATATTGAGAAATAGGAGTTTCCAGGCTGTCCCTGAACGCAGCAAGAGCGTCAATCCTCCACCCCTCGAGGAAGAAGCCGAGCGACATCCATCAGACTCGTTGGACTCTCAGAGGTAAGCCCGAGTCTTCCTCAGTGTGCCCCCACATCAGACTCTCCGCCGGGCCGTCACACCGAGCTCCAGCCAGGTTCGGTGATCTCTGCGCGGATTTTCCTCCCGATCAGGACCGTGGGAGAGATGCGACGTCTCGGGGGAGGAGGAGGAGACGAACTGGCCAGGCAGCAGCAGCAGCAGCAGCAGCAGCAGACACCTGAGAGCAGGATCTGAGTTTGTTTCAATAACGTCAAAGAAAGGTAAGTGCCAAACAGAAAAGAAAGACGATGTTCCCGGAGCACCCTTCAGGCTCGGCTCGTGCATGAAGTAGATGGTTGTTTGGTTGTTGTTTATTGGTGCGTTTCCGTGTTACTTGTCGGTTCCAGCATCAGTACAAGGCAGGAGGTATGAGTCATAGCCCGGTGCAGGGCTGCTGGAGGAGCTGCTGAGATGCGAGGTGTCTGCAGCCTCCAAAGCCACAGTCCTTTATCAGCCCGCACATGCAAAGCGCTGCACCTTTGTGCTCTTAAGGCAAATGACTGCGTACTGTGTGCATGTGTGTATAAGTGATCAAGAGTTAGCGTGCAGTGTGTTGGTAGTTGGAGTCTGCGTGGGTGTGCGTGCACGTGTGTGTGTCATGATACTTCACCAAGCAAAACTTAACGTTGCAGTGTATGAGCCTGGATTTCTAAGGGTTAATAAGGAATTAAGAATGTGGAGTCTCTGTCTACTTTTGGTCTGCGGCTGTTTTTGATGGTCTGAAGCTTACAGTGATATTTTGGACAGACTTTTTTTCTGTTTCAACATGGCATTGCTTTTGTGCACAAAGCCAGCTCCATAACGAAATGGTTTTCTGGTGTGGAAAAACCTGACCTGACTGCTCTGCACAGAGCCCTGACTTCAGCCTCATCCAACACCTTTGGGATGAACTGGAACACTGACTTGTGAGCCAGATCTCAGCACCCGGCATCAGTGTTGGGACCACCCTAATGATCTTGTGGCTGAATGGGATCAAGTCCCTGCAGCCTTGTTCTAAAATCTGGTGGCGGAGGTTGTTATAGCAGCAGATTAATACCCATGGTTTTGGATTGACATGTTCAGCTTCAGATGGAATGTTTAAAGATCCTAAACATATTTTCTCACTCAGCTTTTTACTACGTTTGTTGGGTTCTTGCTGGAAAACACAATTTTCTGCCAACGTCAGAACAGCTTTGGTTATTTTACATATGAAATTTCTGTATTTCTGTTTATTCTTTATGCTTTTCTCACTGTTTTGGAGTGGGCGGGGCTCAGTAGGAAAAAAGCTGATGTCACATAATTCCACTAATTTACTAAGTGTGTTTCCATCCGCCTGTATTTGTGCACATTTTCAGTTTGTGCATAAAAAACCTGAGGGGAAACACCAGAAAACAAGCTTTAGTATGAAACAAAAGTCTTAATGGTTTTTACACTGTGGAGTTGGTGCATCGATAAAAGCTAAATGTGACAAAGTGCAGTGGAAAGAGACTTTGAATAAATCATATACATGGAGAATGAATTTCCATTATATTTTCTACATCAGTTTTGTTTGTTTGAGATTTGACTGGTACCTGAAAGGTGAATTAGCACCATCAACTATTTACCTCAAAAGTTGCATCAGAGTAGTGGATGGAAATGTGGATTAATTTGTGTACGTTTTGCTGATTTTCTGGAAATCTGGTTAAGATTTGTACTAAATTTGTGGATCAGTCTTTTTAAGCTTTTATGTTTTAAACTCTTAATAAATAGTACGAAACATATATTTTTTAAAACTTCAATTGTTGTATTTAGTAACAAATACACAGAGTTTGAGAGAAATATTTAGATGCCATGTTATTCCATTTTTTTTGTCAGAATTAAAAAATGAAATACAAGAACATCAAATTGGAAGAAATTTTGGTGTTTGCAAATTCCTTATTTTCATTTTTCCTTGTGAATCGAAGACTGGAGAAAGGTAGTCAGGTGGCACGCAAGTAAAGGTAAATATTTCAAAATGAAAGTTCAAAGGATAGAATGGCCAAGTGTAACATTATATTATTTCTGTTTTTTCATTTTTAGTTTAAAACGAAAAAACAAACTGAATGTAAACTAATCCTTTTAGCCTCATAATTGTATTTCTTGTCTTTTAAAGTCCGGGTGAAATGTGTTTGGAAGTGTGAATGTTAGACTGGAGCCTCCTGCATAATTTAACAGTGCTAAAGTTTAATGTTGTGGCCATCAGCTTTGATTATTTCAACTTTGGTTGTGAAAAATCCGCTCTGTGTGGCAGATGGCTCTAAGCACTACAATACCCAAGAGGCTTAGTTACTGCTGTGATGGAGAAGAAGCCAGTCAGAGGCACAGAGAGGTTTGTTCTATCTTATAGCTTCAGCTTGCTGTTAGGAGAAAACATGGTACAATTTTAAGTTCTGTGATTGGACATCTTTCATGGAAATGCATCTTGGGAGTTGTAGTTGACGTCTGTTTTAGTTTTTATGTCCAAAGCTTTTACCTTTGGCTTTTTATCAAGGAAGTAGATGTTTTCTAACACAGTTGTTGATCTTTTGCTCTGATGATCGAGCCGTTAGAGTGCACACATCTCCACGTGCACACACGGAAATCTTTGCATCTTGTAAAAGCTTCTGTTACAAATCAAATACCAAGACTTGTCTGAGCTCGTCACTTGTTTTAAATGCACTGTAAACTCTTCAGTCAGGTGTTTCCCTGAACGCGTCATGATATTTCAGATGCGTAGACATTAGACGCTCCCCTGCCGCTGTGACAGTAATGAGTATCTCTCTCCATCCCGTAGGCAGACCCTGGATATTTGTTGACTCATAAATCAGTTTGTAAACAAAGATGGAGTGAGCAGAGGTAATTAGAGGAAGCAGCCTTTATTGTTTTGGTAATGCAGCCGGTGTCCCTCGAGTTGCTGGCAGCTTTATTATTTCACGTCTCCACTGTCAGTCCAAGTTGATTCCTTACTGATGGACTCATAATGGAAATAACAGACGTGGGGTTGTTATCTGCTGGTGTCATTATTATACACCGAAGGCCTCAGTTTTCTCAAAATTGCTATTCATTTGTAAAAATTTCATAAAAAGATAAATGAATCAACAAAAACAAAGGAAAAAAAAGAAAAATAATGGCAGCAACAGGTGCACACGAATATTTTTTTTTTCAGTGTTTACTACACTTGTGTGTACAGCTTCTTTGTCTGATGCTGCATCCATGTCCTGTCAGGTTTAAATATGAAATACTAATACTACTTAAAGCCAAGCAATGTGTTCCTGTGTCTGTAAAATGTTAGGCAGTTAAACTAAAGGCTAATTTTTCATTTTCAGACTGTTTATTTGTCACAGAAGTGAGCGTTACATTCAAGTGAAATATATCCATGTCTTTTTCTGATTATAAAGCAGGTCTAGGTTCTATATTAATACTATGAAAGTATCAAAGCGCTCAGTCCACAGAGAAATGCACACAGCCTGTATTCAGAAACTTTGTGATGTCACAACGAAACACTCACCACACGTGGACCCACTATCCAACTTTGGTGGATTTGGTTTCTCTGAGTGTTTACCTGAAATCTGACATATTTTTATTCAATCAATAAGAAAACAGTCAGCCAATCAGAAGAGAGGCTCAGAGCCTCCTCTCTTCTGATTGGCTCACTGACCTGTTGTTACGAGAGCTCCAGAGAGAATCCTAAGAGAGGAGATGTAAAACCACACTGAGTTGGTTTTTGGTTCTTAAAATCGATCAACACTTCAAATAAAACACAGAAAAAGTGTAAAATATGGACCTTTTTAAAAAAAAAAAAAAAAAAAAATAAAAAATGGGCCCTTTTTAAAAAAAAAAAAAAAAAAAAAAAAAAAAAAAACTAAGACCCCGCTGCTCGCAACACCTGATGCTGAGAAGAGCCTCCAGTCAGACTCTGGGGACTGACATTTTTCATGTCATTAATCGAAACTACTGCCTGTTGTTTATAAGCTGCTTGTTATGTTTGTGCTGTTCATTTGCTCGCACTGCTGTGTGAAAATATAAACAGGTTACTTATGTTCCTTACAAACATCATATTACAATTTACACTGGCAAGAGCCATTATGGAGATACGACACCCTACTGTGTGCACAGAGGCATCTTCAGCTCCAGTCATGTAACTCGGCGAGTTAAAGAAAAGACTCAGAAGATGTTTTCCACCTGGAATCACCCATTCATATAACGCAGTGAGCGAACGACCCACAAAATAATTTAAAAAAAAGCCAATTTCAGTTCATTATATGGCAGCGAGCAGCAGTGAAAGATACAGTCGTGTCTGTTTCAGTGACATTTTACAGCAGCACTTTACACACCTCTAAAGTGCTGCGGTTTGGTGAAAAATAACAGCAGAAAGTGTGTCTGTCAGACCTTTCTGTAAAAGAGCCACACTGACATTCTCTTTCAGATATTATTACAGGACACCACCATATAAAACATAATAGGAAACCAGCAGGTTACATTTTGTTAATGCAGCGCTTTTTAGCTGTAAAACATATCTAAACTGCCTCACACATTTTAACGCAGGTCTAAGGGCTGCATTGTGAGCTGGAGAATAGGATAGGACGATAAAACGTGGTCAGGACAGCTGGAGGTGAACGTCTGACACTCAATACCTGCAGCTCAGTACAGAGATGACAGGGACTGTCTGTGGAGGCGTCAAAGACGCTTGTATAGACAAAGACCATGTGGAATATTGTCAGAATCATCCAGTACATACACAGGTTATGTTCCATACCATATCCTGAATTGTAAAGAAAATATGAAATCCCCTGTTGGGCACAGGGGGATGTCTCGTATAGGGCACCAAAATGTCCAAAAATCAGCCCTGAGTAAAACTATCCAGCTTCAAATAAGAAAAAAGCTAGTTTTGAGAAAGTCTGAAAAAACAAACAGAATATTGTGCAGCAGAAATGTTTCTTCAGATCTTGTTAATCATCCCACCACCTCTAGTTTGGGAAATACTGCCTCTGTGGTGATTCACATATCCCTTTTCATCCATGTACAGTTTGAATTGTTCCCATTTCTTCTAATTCAAATCTTCCCACAGAGGGCTTCTGTAATGATACTTTTGCACTGGTTGAAAAAACCCACTAAGACCCACTAATGTCAGGCTTTTGTCAGCAATGGAAAAGGGAACAATCTGCATCCACTCCTGGGAGAAATGACTCGACTGCAGCAGACGCGGGTGTTTCTCTGCTCTGGCTCCAATCGGCAGTGATGTAAA